TTTATAATTCTGCAAGTTGCTTATCAACTGAACTCTTTATAACATTTTGTATTATTATTTTCACTGACATTGCATCACAAAACAATATGGGAATTAATGAATTTTGTATCATCAGCTGAAATGCGAACTGGACCTGGCAAGATGGGAACCAAAAAGCATCAAAACACATAAATGCATTGTGTAAATCCAGGGCTGGTACCATCAACAGCTCAACTTGAGAAGCAGGTTGCAGGATGTCTACAACCAAAGAGTAGAAGAAAGAAGTTCATGATTTAAACTTGCCAAAAGTAGTAATAAAAAAATTTCTTTCAATATGTAAGGAACAAGAAGTCAAGGAAACAATAGGTCCATTAATGGGACCAAATGGCAAGGAGGTGACAGGCAGCAGAGAGAAAGCAGAATTGCTTAATTCCTTCTTTGCATCTCTTTTTAATGCAAAAGGAAGAAATAGCCCAACCTATCAAAAGCAGCATCGAGGCATATAAAACATGTGTACAAGTCAAAAGAGGCATGGAATTAGTAAGAAAATACCTATCCACCCTGGATGAATGCAAATCACCTGGGCCAGATGACTTGCATTCCACGTTTTGAAGCAACTGGTAGATATACTGTAATTTCAAAACCATTGAGCGTAATCTTTCAAAACTCAGGTAGCCCAGGGGAAATACCAGAAGACTAGAAAATAGCTGATGTGATTCCAATGTACAAAAAAGGGAAAACATGGATCCAGGAAATTAAGAGCTGATCAGCTTGACATCAATATCAGGGAAAATCACAGAGAGGATAATCAAGCAGAGGATTTGTGAGCACCTAGAAACAGACAAGGTGATTATTAGATGCAAGCATGGGACTGTTAAAAACAGATCATGCCAAACAAACCTTATTGCCTTTTTAAAAAAATAAAGTAATTAAATTAGTGAATCAGCGAAATGCTGCAGGCATGTCTATGGAGATTTTCAATCATCCCAGTCATGGTTGTCCCAATGGTGCTTTTCAAAAGGCAACTGTTTTTCCTTGAAAATGTTTTGCTTTTCATCCCAAAAACTGAATGAATTGAAGAAGCTTCTTGGATGAGAAGCAAAATGTCTTCAAGGAAAAATAAAGAAAGTCCAGTTGTCTTTTGAAAAGCACCTTTGGGACAGCTGTGGACACAGTATTCTTGGACTTCAGCAAGGCATTTGACAAAGCAAGCCACAACCTACTTCTTAGTTAAGATAGAACAATATTAGATAGACAGTACCATCATTAGATGGATTCACAATTGGCTAACCAATCACACTCAACAGGTAATCGTTAACAGAACTACCTCTACATGGAGAGAAGCATAGAGTAGGGAACCTCCTAGTTCAGACTAGGTGCCAGTACTCTTCAACAACTTCATAAATGATCTAGATCAGGGTGTCAAACTGCTGGCCCGTGGGCTGATTGCATCATGCAGAGGCCGTGCCTACCTCAGCTCCGGCAATGAGAAAAAAGTCACGATAAGTTGTGAGACATCACGTGACATGGCGAGTTTGACATCTGTGATCTAGATAAAGAGGATAGGAGGAGAACTCATCAAATTTGCAGATGATACCAAGCTGGGAGGAATTGCTAACACTTTGGAAAATAGGCTCAAGAACCAGAAGGACTTTGGCAGACTTGAATATTGGACCCTAAGGAACAAGATGCAGTTCAGTGATGAGAAAAGTAACATCCTGCACTTAGGTAGGAAAAAAAGCAAATGCATGTGTACAAAAGTAGCCTGGCTCAACCGTAGTATCTGAGAGAGATTTAGGCATCTTAATGGACAAGTGTGGCCTTACCAAAGCATTGTAAAGTGGTATTAATACTTCACGTGATCTTGAGTCTATCCCTCTGTTAATGCAGCCTAACACTGTGTTGGCTTTTTTGGCAGCTGCAGCACACTGCTGGCTCATATTTAAGTGATTGTCCACATTGTATTCTACAAAAAGGCTGAAATGTAAAATCAGCAAAAATGCTGATCCATATTATCTGATATTTCTCCCTAGCAGTCGGGATAGGAAACTGCTAACCCAGAAAGCAAGTCTCTCAGAATTCTGTTTAGTAATACTAAAGGAAAACTGAGGTCTTAACACAAGGGTTTCACCACATTTTCAGATAAGCACCAATACCTGTGGACAAATTTAGAGTGGCAAAAATGTCATTCATTTTCTCATGATCATACAAGGGAGGGGATTGGAAGCTTTTTGCTTTTGTTAAAGAGGGCCTATCTGCATATATTCAATGAACCAATTCTCATATATACGCTGCTGACAGACATGAAATCTGGAGAATAAGCAGGGTTAACAGAGATTCTTTTGTTAAACATGGGATGGCCTTCACTATAGGTTTAATAATTTGCCCTGGTGAACCTATTAGTCAGATGATGGAATCAGATTTTAAGTGGAATGGGGCAGAAGTTACACAGAAGATACTCATTTCTTTCTCAAATGTGATGACTACAGTTGAGGGATGAGTAATAGGTTAAAAACTTGTTTTGGGGATTTAAAACCATGAATTTATCTTTCAGGGTTTGTCAAAAAGCTGTGTTACACTACATAGAACATTATTTTAATAGAAAAAAGGAGATTTAAGTCATCAACAGTCATTTCAGGCTAGAACTTAATTGGTGGGATGAAAAGCAACAACCTGATCTGCTCCCTGAAAGCAGTTACAATTAGCCCGTATATAGCAATCATGTCATGATAACTCAGCAGCTACTGGCCTCTGACAGTTCCCATCCACAGACAGGGGCAGTGAACAGAAAAGTATTTTGCTAAGCAAAAATTGTGCTTGAATCAAAATAATTGGATTTATTATATGTGATATTCTCCTGCTTGTAGTCTATTTTTTATTTATATTTAATTCTTTCCCTGTTTTTAATTGGTTTTGTAGCATGCTTTAATATGCCATCTATAATCAATTTGTGGGAGGTGGGGAGCCATATATACTTGTCAAGAAATAATATTTTGACCTTGAAACTGGGCAGTATATTTGCCTATAAGGCATTTTATTTTATTATAGAATGTAATGATCAAACTACCCATATGTTACCTCTTGCTGTCAAATAAAATTAAAAAAATATTTTAACCATCCTCTAAGTGATTTAAGTTATTTACTCTTAAATCTTTGGAGCAAGACCATTTGACTTATTCCATTATTTCCAAATACCTAGGAGCTGCTCAACATCCAATATCAATATCTAATCTAAAGTTTATTAATTAAGGATTAATGCCACTAGTGAATTGAGTGAATCCCATTTGAATGAATCACTTCCAATAGCCCTCACAACAGCATTGGACACTAGGACTAAATAGAGTTCAACGGGCTTCATTTTTCTGTAATCAAAAATTCTGAAAAAGGAAGATATGCTCCTAAAAACTATAGTCAAATGGTAGTGGTAGTGTATTTAAATATATATTAATTGGGAAAATAGAAGCACCTGAATTGAAAAAATAAAGGAGCAAACAAGGACATTTGAGTTCTATAGGTGTGCTGGAATGAATGTTGAATAATTACAGAAAAGATAGTAGAAAGCGTGAGAAAGAAAATCAAAACAACTGTACCTCGACTGTATTAGGTATAATTTGAAGTAGACAGGGGTTTTGACAGGCTTTCAAGGTTTTGTTACATTGCCCTAATCACAACAAAGTACTTTTCGATTTCTGTAGCAACTCCCATCTTTTCACCTTGACTACCTCAAAAGGCTGACAAAAGATTGCTGTGAAAAATGTGTTAATAGCTTTATAAAATAAGGGAAGATATGTATAACACTCCATATGTTTGTTCAGAAGTGCAATATGATATTCCATAGCATTAAAGATCTCTAAAAGCTCTTTCAAATTCTATTTTTAATGGGACACAAGAGGAAAATTATTATTATTATTATTATTATTATTATATAAACGCATAATTAACAAAATGAAATATATTAGCCCTGTATTTCCTGGGATACTCAGGCAAATTAGCTAAGTTGTACATTGTTCTGCTCCTTCTATTAGGTAATTTTTAGAGTAGCCAGCTTCTGTGTAGCTGGTGTAAAAATGAAACACATTTTTCAATGGGCTGCTTGAATAGGATGGACTCCCATTAGAATGTAATTAAAAAATAAAATAAAATCTTTATATTTAGTATGCTTTACTTCAATTGAAAGTCAGTGAAAGTTCTTTTATTCGCTAAATTAGAACATACTATTTATTAATATTAATTATTTATAATCAATATAAATGTTTATTAATTCCAACATATTAAGAAAATGCCTATGCTAGGAAACAATATAATCTTATTAATGATAGCAAAATGATTTGGAATTATCCCTAAATACAGTGGTGGGATTCAGCTGGTTCGCACCACTTCGGCAGAACTGATAGCTAATTCTTGTTGCCCAGGCCCAGAATGGATTTCCGGAAGCGGCATCCACACAGAGAACCGGTTGTTCACATATTTGAATCCCACCACTGCCTAAATATGATTACATGTAAGAACAATTTGCCTCGTTTATTAGAGATTAGTCTAATATGGCATGGAACCTTCATTGTCAAACAGAAATTTTACACCTCAGCTGGTTTTCCTCTGGAAAGTATAGCACCATATTATACTGGAAGAACAGATACAGTAAAATAAAAATAGAGTTTAAATATACATATGTTGTTCTGCATTAAGAAGAAGCAAAGTTATGAAAAGGAAAGTTTTTAGACAAGTTTTAGGGGAAAAAATGTTTGAATTATAATGAAAGGTTTGACCCAGACTACTCCACCTATTTTCCATCTCAACAAGTGAATAATCAAGGGGAGAGCCTAAACATATGTATTAGGATTATCTAATAATTATTTTAATTATTTAATGATGGGCTTGGCTAATCTGTTGAAAAAATTATCATACATTTGCGCCTATGATGCAGTGTTAAACTGACATATAAAAGGGTAGAAAACCACTCTCCAAGGACAACCTGAGCTGCATTTCTGCACAAGGAAGATCCTTTCTGTTGTCTTGAAATCATGAGCTTCTTGAGCCAGTCATCCAGACAAGCCTCTTCCTCCCGCAGCAGCAGAGGAGGAACAAGAGTGTCTGGTGGTGGATCATGTAGCTTTAGCAGTAGATCAAGTAGCAGGCTTGTTGGTAGCGGTTGCAGCAGTGGTGGCAGTGGCAGTGGAGCATGGGGCATGTGCAACTTTGGTGGAGGGGCAGACAGCAGGGGCAGGTCAAGCTCTGGTAGCCTAGCGTGCAGAGGCAGCAGATCGAGGACCTTGAGTGCTGGATGGGGCACTTCTGGTTCAGGTGGAGCATTTGGTAGCTTTGCAGGTGGTGAAGGTGGCCTTCTTTCAGGTGATGAGAAGCAAACAATGCAAAACCTTAATGACCGCTTAGCAACTTACCTTGGAAATGTCCAAGCACTGGAAGAGGCAAACAGTGAACTTGAAGGCAAAATTGCAGAATGGTATGAAATGTTTGGAGCAGGAAACCAAGCTGGACAACAACAAGACTATAGTGAATATTACGCAATTATTGATGACCTTAGGAATCAGGTAAGAAAAGAAAGAAGTTTAGTAGGTTAAGCCTTTTTTATTGTTTACTGTATGATCGTGCCATTTTAGTCTTAGGAGATTATGAGCCGGAGTGGTTTCCAATGTTCATTAACAGCAGGCAGTTCCTGTTGCCAAGTTTAATGACCAGGAAATATCTGAGGAATACTTTGCAGGAGAGGAGCATATTTTCTGCAAGGGGAACAGGGAATGTATGAGGTAGAGCTCCCAGTTGCAAATACCTCCTCTTTGGACTCTTTTATCTTTAACAGATTTGATGCAAGGCAGTAAATTTTATTGCTTTCATCAATACAGTTTCAGTTTCACTAAACCAGCTGAAATATATATTTATTCATGGATAAGGCTGAAATGTTAGTCAACCTCCTTTAAAGAAAAAAGATTAAAGTAAATGCCACACCCCTGTTATTTCTCACAGTTTATGACAGCGGGATAACATGGCAGTAATAAGATAACGTTTGAGTTCAGGAAAGAACAAAGGGTCCTGTTGGGTTTTGGATGAGATCTTATTGAAAGTTCTTGAATTATGCAATCTGATTACCTGAAAGAAATCTGACATTTACTAATTATCCTACTTTATGTGGCAACAGAGAGCCAGTTTGGAGTAGTGGTGAAGGCATAAGGGCTAGAAACCAGTAGACTGAGAGTTCTAATCCCACCTTGACCACAAAGTCAGTTGAGTGACCTTAATCACTCTCTCTCAGTCCTAGGAAAGAAGCAATGGCAATCACTTCTGAAAAATCTTGCCAAGAAAACTTCAGGGACTTGTCTAGGCTGTTTCTAAGAATCAAAACAATTGAATACAAGAAAAAAACGTATATAAAATACATTTATATTAACCAGATATATCAACAATTGAAGTATTAAGTATATTAACCTAATTCCATTTCTCATAAACTGTGGTGGTGCAGTGGTTAGAATGTAGTACTGCAGGCTATTTCTGCTGACTGGCAACTGCCAGCAGTTCAGCAGTCCGTGTTTCACGGGCTCAAGGTTGACTCAGTCTTCCATCCTTCCGAGGCTGGTAAAATGAGGACCCAGATTGTTGGGGGCAACATGCTGACTCTGTAAACTGCTTAGAGAGGACTGCAAGGCACTGTGAAGCACTATATAAATCTAAGTGCTATTACTATTGCTAATATGCTCATTTAGAATTTATATACTGAAGAGGATATGGCCCATACCCTAGCTTTGCTTTTATGCTCAATTCAGAAAATTATGCAGTGGGATTGCAATATTAAAGTTGTTGAAAATAATCTATGTTAAATAAACTTTCTATGTTATGTCTTTTAGATAATTGCTACATCAATAGACAATGGAACACTGATTTTGCAGATTGACAATGCTAGGCTGGCTGGTGCTGATTTCAAGCTCAAGTAAGTGGAGGGAAATTAGCATATTTCCTATATTCTGTTTTCTTTCATGATCTACAAGAATGCGCCTCCTAAAGTAAAGGGCTTTGCTTGTTATAGTTAAAATAAAATAAAAATAGATCCCAAAGGATTTCAATACAAGCAAATTCCAAACTACTACTAAAGTTAACTATCAACTCTCAGTTTAGAGAAAATATATCGGTGACGCAAGTGGGTAGACTGATGATCATCATTGCTGACTATAATTGTCTATATGAGAGAGTGAGGAATGCAATGCTGAACTTAGTGAGATGTATTTTTTAATATTCTTAGTTGCTATGGTTACAAAGTGCCCTATGACATGGTTCCATGGTGGCAAGAGGTCAGAGCCACCACAATGCAAATTACCTACTCTAAATAAAAAGTTCATTGGTAGTGCAGCAAATACCTTTTCTATTGCTCCATATTGCTGAGCAGTGGGTTGGTAAGGTAACTCCTCCCCAGCTCTCCATTTTATTCCTTGTAACTTAATAGCAGGACATAGCTGTTACAAATATGGGCTATTGTTCTAAAATAAACATTCTTTAAGAGCTGAAGAAAGCACTGAATGAAGATCAAAGGTGAAAGAGGGAATATATATTTTCCTCACTTTTTTCAGATGGATCAGGAGCTGACAATATGTTTAATTGCTTTTAGATATGATAATGAAGTGGCCATCCATCAAAGTGTTGAAATGGATGCCAATGGCTTACGAAAGGCCCTAGAAGAAATTGAGATAACAAGCAGTGATCTTAAAGTACAGATTAACAGCTTTACTGAAGAGCTGGAACAGATGAAGAAAAATCATGAGGAGGTATTTCGGGGCTCATTCATACATAAAACAAGGGACAAATAAATATATGTCAACAAAAAACAATACGTGAAAGTGTCAAGATGCTACTTGGCAAAACTCTCATTGGCTGCATTGAAAGAATTGGACAGGGTTGAACTGGATTGTCTCAGCAAAAAAAAAAAGACAATAATCCCCCTAATCCAACTCTAGTTGTGTATAAACAAGATGTTCATGTCAATCATGAATAGAATACTAAATGGGAGGAGTGCTGACATATTTTCCCCACCCGAGATCCACTTTGGATTTGAGCCACATCTTTCTGGAGTTTGGACCAATACCAGTTGTATTAATTTTGCCCTATAGGGGTTCTCAGAAAATCTACCACCACAATTTATTTTTTCCTTAGTGAAGAATGAGAATGTGGGAGGGGAAGATTGCTATAGCATGTCACAATATTATTACAGACTTCAAATGACAAGTAGAATAGAAGATTTCATGGCTCATAGTTACTTCAGATACTACTGCAATCCAGAGCCCAAGTATATTTACATATATTCGGGAGAGTATTAGGTTGTCAAATTCAGTCTAAACAATTACTTACAAGCATCAAAGACAAATCCTGCACATTGTTGAGATGGGTTTAATTTTCCCCACCTCCAACAACAAACACAGTGCAATTTAGGGATTATACATTTTGTTTAAAATTTGCTATCTTGGGTGTATTAAATCTCCTGATTTTTAAATTTAATACATTGAAATATCTGGATAATGTTACTAAAAAAATTACCTTTCTAGAAATGAAAATTGAAACTATCATTGGTTGTCTCAATTTTCAATATAGGGATTTATATTAATCTTATATACAAGCACATGCCAAATGAAAATTCCAAAATACTAAAGTAAAACTGCCAAGTATTTTCTCTAAATGCTACAGGCTTTTATGACTGTCTGAAAGTTTTAATACACTTATTGAATTGTTGCATAACATGAACGTGTGTGCTATACATTCACAGCTTCATGATAGTATAGACAAGAGCTGTGTACTTCCAAGTGTGTTAGGCATTGATTTCTGAACATATTCAAGCAAAATGAGATAGACTAAATCAAAACATTCCAAGTCTGTCCTAATTTTTAAAAACAGAAATAAGTTATTTTTTTCTTCCTGATACAGGATATGGTTTCAATGAATGATTCTACTGCAGCTGGAGATATCAACGTGGAAATGAATGTCACACCCGGAGTTGACCTGACTACTCTCCTCAATCAGATGAGGGGTGAATATGAGGCTCTGGCTGAGCAGAATAGAGAGGATATGGAGGCTTGGTTCCATGAGCAGGTGAAATAGATCCTAATAATATTCTTCATGGAGATTCTTTTTTTAAAACATTTTTTTTAATTAAAAATTGTGTTCAAATTCTGATATATTTCAGAGCCAAGAACTGAACAGGCAGATCAACACCAGCGTTGAGGAAACCAGTACCAACAAGAGCGAGATTACTGAAATGAAACGCGCATTGCAGGGTCTTGAAATTGAACTCCAATCTCAACTATCACTGGTAGATTTTTTTTTCTTCAGCAGTGTTTTAACATAAACTTATAAATTAATTAAATATTTAATCTTCTCTTAAGACAAAGAAGTTGTAGCATGTGAACTGGAGTAAATCTCTTTGTTCTAGATTCCAGCTTGCAACCAGCCCAAATTATCATAGTCTTCCCTCTCTAATTCTTGACAATTTGAGAAATTGTCAGTCATGCAAGGTAACCATCAAGTATTGTTAGAATACAACTCCCACTATCTCTGATAACTGCTATGAAGATGGAATTTATCACAATTTGGATCCACCAACATCTACACGGCTAAACACAGCTATCTACCATTGATTTGAAATCCATAGAGACTGCATGCTTAGTAATGTTAGTGTGCTACTCCATAATCTAATAAGCAATAGTAGAGGTGGTTCATTTTAGCTCCAAAGAAGCACAAGATTGTTCAATTAACCTTTCAACTTCCAGCAGAGATGAAGACCCACAACAGCCCTATAATAACTAAGAATTCTTCCTTGACTCAACTTTTCACTCTTATGTCCTCACACCTGTATCTCTATGTGTAAGAAACAAAGAAAGATATAGGCATGGCATGTAAGCCTTTCAAACACCATTCATGAGATCATCAACCAAATCAGGTTAACTCAATTTTTCTTTCCCAAGAGATAAACAGTAGCTGGGGGGGGGGATCCAACAAGAGCTGTTCCCTATTTAATCAGGGAATCTCTGACTGTATGCTGCTAGTCCAAATGTGTGAACATTTCCCACAAGTGGTCTGACAGGTTGTCTAGTAGTTGAAAATTGAAATTATTCATATGGAATACACTACACCGAAAATGGCTTTGAGTGAAATTCTAGAGTAATATCTTACTTGTTTATTCACCAAGGACTCATACTAATTGCTGCAGAAAAGAACAGATTCTTGTCTATTTTTTCTAAGAATTCTAACATGCTCAAACCTGCCTCACGTTAGGTGTCAATCATATGAAATATATCTAACTTTATTAGGATAACAAATTCTATATCTGAAAAATAAAAACTACGTTTATTCATATTCAATATAGCGTCCAAAAGCAGGTTATGAGGGAAATATATGAATCAATGCTATTTGACAAATGATACACTAGTGCAGGTTTCTTAACTTCAGCAATTTTGAGTAGATTACAGCTCCCAGAATTCCATAGCCAGCATAGTGGCTGTGGAATTCTGGGAGTTGAAGTTCACACATCAGAAAATCATTCTCACACACATTCTCATACACACACACACACACACACACACACATTTATATGTGTGTGTGTGTGTGTGTGTGTGTGTTAATGATTAAAAAAACATAAAAACAAAAAAGACTTGGTACCATGGTTAAACTTTCCATGCAGCCCAAAAGTTTGTTTAGACTGTTTCCAAGGAAACATTGCTCTTGATAATAGAAAAAAAAACCTTACTCAGTCATGTTTTGCATTCATACAGTGTTCATTTTGCTTTCATACTATTTTATTTTTCCATCAGAAACAATCTCTTGAGGCCACTCTAGCAGAGACAGAAGGTCAGTACTGTGCCCAACTGTCCCAAATACAAGAAGTGATTGGCAGTGTGGAAGGCCAAGTACAGCAGATAAGAGATGACATGGAGTGTCAGAACCGAGAATACGAACAGCTCCTGGATGTTAAGATCCGCTTGGAAAATGAGATTGACACTTACCGAAGCCTCCTCGATGGAAGTGAAAGGTAAGAAAAATTTGGAGAATATTGTATTTCTTAAAAAAAATAATTATTTTGCCTAATTGGAGTTTCTCCCTGAAAAAACACCAAAATGTATACCACTTCAGATGTGGTTGAACTACAATAAATTTTGTCTAATAGCCATACTGAAGATGTTGTAGGCTAGAGTCAATCAGTATCTGCAGACTTGTAGTTCCTCAAACACTCATCAAAGACTCTATCTCAGATGTTTTAATGTTTCATTTTTCCTTAATTTTAATATCATTCTATACTGGACGATAGAGAACAGAGCACGGTAGCCTCTCTCATCTGCTAGTTATTTTAAATTATAAGAGTTAAAAGGTATTTTTTATTCTAAAACATGAAATAGAAATGAACTCTCCTATTCTACCCCAATCAATAAAAAAGGCACAGTAAATTGCATTGATCATTTCTACCCAAAAACTGAAATTAAAAGAATCACATTTTAGGGTTTTCTACAACAAAATGTTTAAACAGGTTTTTTTTCCTCTTTCTCTCTTTACTTTTATAATAATTTTGAAAGTGCTGATAAAACTTCAGGAGGAAGAGACATGAGACAACTTTCAGAAGTTAAATCCAAAGGTTCAAAATCTAGAGACCAGTCATTTTTTAGCTCTGGATCTAAAGCCTTGGGATCTTCAGATTCAAGAGCCAAGGAATCACCATCAGGACCTTCTGGTTCTCAATCTAGAAGTGGGGAATCTGCAGATCAAAGGTTTAAGAGACAAGAACATGCCACCGCTCAGTCCCAGTCCAAAGGTTCTGGAGATTCTAGACAGACAGATAAATTAGGATCTGGAAACAATACCAGAGGTAACACATTTTGCTTATTATATATATATTTAGTTCCATATTTTGATAAACAGTGTTATCTTGCTATCCATTGAAGAATAAAAATATTACTTTTTTTCCCTATTAAAACAAAAGAATTGCAAAAACCTAAACTTACACTACAAGTTTTTGTAATGTACATATGGCGTAGAAATGCGCAAGATAAAGGCCAGCAGATATTTGGAACTTGAGAGTAAAGAAACTCCCAAAACCAAAGTGTTCTTTCCTTGAGATATATATTATGGATTATTCCTGTACAATGTGGATACTGAAACCATGGATCTGGCAAATGGAATTCCTATTTTCTTCATGTGTCAGCTCAGTTTTCCCTTCTAGACGAAAAAGTTGAGATGGGTACTGTAATGTTCATTTCAGTATCCTTAAGGTACATGCCTGGATAATATTAAAGTACAACACATTTTAAAAATATGTTAGATTCCATTAATTAATCGATACATAAACAATATGTAATATTTGCAGACTGATTCTAGGACACTAGATTTTCCCTATTTTAATAGCCAATATATTTTTAGACAAAATTAAGGACTACCTAAAGTCAAGTTTAACTTTCAATTTAAATGGATGTGCCTATTTAGCTTACTAGTCCACTATAAGGCATTTATTTGCCATTGCTTTCTTTGGGAATTTTTTTTTTAAAAATCTCAAATTAGTTTAGCTCTGGGATTCCTTAGAAAATATTATTCAACGTGTCTGGACTGCTTCAAAATGATAAAGAAATGCCATCAGTATGGGCCAGCTGTTGCACTTAATTGGCTCCATCAGGCAAATTATATATATATATATATATATATATATATATATATATATATATATATATATATATATATATATATATATATATATATATATATATATATATATATATATATATATCTGACATGTTTTTTTTTGGTAAAAAATAATCTTTTAATCAACCCTTTATCCAAAATGAAAGTTATAGGATCTTCTTCTATAAAAGGAATTATCGGGGTCAACTATCATTCCTTTCCCATCATTTCTGAAACCTATTGATGGCCAAAAGACTATCAAGCTTTGTACAAATTTTTGTTGATGGAGTTAGCTTCTAATATTTTAGTCATAAATATTTTATTTAATCACTGAGATTTATTTGGGGAAGGATTGAAATGCAGTACAGGGCAATGAATTGCCTGCACAAAAAGCCAGGTTCAATCCTTAGATTTTCAGAATGAGATTGTGAAAGATTCTTCTTTGCTGTAAAACAAACTAGACTCAATAAATCAACATTGGACAGCTTCCCCTTTTCCTAAAGCACACCTTTTTTTCCCTGTGAAATTGACTTAGAATTAAAAATTATTATTTTTTCTCCTAAATCTCTGAATTCTTTCTTTACAGACCCCCAAAAAACAAGAGTGATCAGGACCATAGTGGAAGACAGAATTGGTGACCAAGTTGTCTCAAGTCGTGTTCAATCTGTTGAAGAAAAGCACATTAAATAAGCAGCCTCAGCTTTACTACAAAGTCTTTCAAAGCACAGCACACAGATAGAAACAGATAGCTACCTTCTAAAATAGGATCATCTTCCTTTCTTAGCTTCTGCAACTCTTTTCAGAGTGTATTTCTTCTTTGCAATTCTAGAATGAAAATGTTGATTTCATTTTTGGCATTCCTCAATAAACATTGCATGTTGCAGCAAAAACTGTCAAGATTCATATTGCTTACTTATAAACTGTATTGCTCACAGTGTATGTCAGTAGTTGCCAGTCATCAATAAAGCAGCAAAAATTAGAGTCCAATCAAATGCACCACAGAGATATTTGTTTTATTAGGTAGCAATCACTCTAATTATCCAAATTCTATCTGCCAGGATTCTGATTTATGGTGGTCCAGTCATGCAAAATTATAATTAATATCATATCTTATTGAATAATTAAACAGCATTTTATGGAAAGCTGTCATAATTTGAATAACTGCAATCTACATTCTATAAGCCTTTAAAATATATGTGGATCAAAAGAAACATAAAATATATCTGAGTCAAATGTTCCACTTTGGATCAATAGTACTTTCTGGAGCAATGTTTCTCAACCTTAGAAATTGTAGTCCTATAATTTTCCAGTCAACATGTTGAAAGAATTGAAGTTCACACATCTTAAAGTTGCTAAGGCTGAGAAATACTGCTCTAGAGCATCTTATCTGTGGATTGTGGCTGAAAAGACTGAATGAGAGCAATATTCTTGCTTTTATATCCAAGATATTGCTCAAGTTATAATCAACTGTCTAAACTGAGTAATAACCACTACATTTACTCAGAATCAAAAAAAGGGTGACAAAAGTAACTGGGTTCTTTAAACTATTTTGTGATCTATTTGGTTTTGGTTTCCTGTGCCCTGAACCCCATCACTGCTATTTGTAAAACATGATTTATGGCTTAATGACCTTTGATAAATATAACACTAGGGAATCCTGTACTATATGGTAAATAAGAGCTGGTTATAAAGTACATAATCATATTTTGAGATCTGGACTGTGCTATAAGAGCCTTACCTGGATGCCCTTCAGATTTCTGTGTTGCATCTCACAGAATCCCCATCCTGAAGACAATTAAGATATTTGGATTGTTATGGAACAATCTACCTGGAGATTGCCAGACTAGGAATTGAAATGATGGATATCTAATTTTAAAATCTAGATTAAAAACAGTGCATATCTGTAGTTTTTATGCTTGATTAGAATTCACCTATAAATTCTGTGATGAAATGCATAGTTTGTTGAACAAGCTGCAGGGAGTCTATTTTACATATGAGGCTAATAGGCTTCTTGTAACATATAAAGTTTTATGTTGCATAAATGGACTCACATTTAAAGATTGCATTGAACATCCAGAGCTCAATATCCTTATTATAACTGATCGTATTAATTTTGAACATAACTGATTATTGCACAGGGCTTGCTTCAATACTGAGTATATAAAATGGTTTTGCTGAATTAACTCAAGATTAACATAGGTTTAAAACCCACTGAGTGCTCACACAGAACATAGTTATCATGGAGTGTATTCTAAGCAATTCAGAGATATAAGAAACCCTTGTTTCTGATAATTTATATAATAGCCATTTTGGGATATTGATATATATTATTGCAATGTTATTGTTGCATTGTGGAGAATCCAAAATAAGACTGGAGCTATGTGGCAAAAGAACCATGAAGTCTGAGTCTGACATAGGTTAAAGAAAATATGCTTCAGTAATTTTTCACCTTTGATCATAAAGACTAGAGCAAACTAGGCTCAGGCTACATTTATTCTAACATTAATACTCAATATCTGTCAAAACCTTCTGACTGGCTCTTCTCAGAAATTAACCACTGCTTTTAAATAGGAGATATCATTTGTATTTTCAAGACTACTTGATGTAATAAAAATAATCTCCTTACTTGCTTGACTTTTTTCAATTGTGAGCTTTTAGTCAAAACTTTTATATTTTTTTTCCATTTGATTAAGATAGCTATTGAAATGTCTTTCATCTGCTGGATCATTAACAATATGAAAAGGAAAGAAAAATGGCAAGAAATAAAACCGCTGGTATTTAACAAAGTTCTTAGTGAAATAGCTTTCACACAAGAAAAAAAATACATTAAAATAATGTAAGGATGCTTTTCCAGAAATAAATCAAGTCACATAGCTTTTTGTACCAACACCCAGGGTGAAAAAACAACAAAGAGAAAACACTCTCCTCAAAAAAGGTTTGTACACCCTCCTATTATGAAAGACTTGACTTCATAAATGCACATATATCTGAAAATATGTATCTAACAATGAGCTTTTAAAATGATGGAAAGACTTTGAGATGTAGATAATTACTCAATCTTGTTGAAAACTTAATGAAAGTTTTGGCCTGGTCAAATCCACCCATTCTCCACCTTAAAAAAAAAAGGGAAAAAATGACAAATAGCCCAAGGGGAAATCATCAGGATGGAATATCAGGTCTCATTATTAATAGCCATCAGTCAAACGGGTTTGAAATGATAAATTGGCCAAACAATGTAGGTATGAAATGACATTCCAATGAAAGAACACGCCCTTAAAAATTGACATATAAAAGCTTGGAGATTATTCTTTATTATTCAGGTTCTTCTTAGTTGTCACTGGCTCATTTTTATACTCTTCTTGAAACCTACTGAACATCATGTCTTATTTTGCCTGTGGATCTAGGCAGACTACTTCCTCTCGCAGTAGTGGGGCACCTCTTAAACTTTCTAGCTGCAGTATATATGGGTCTGGTGGAGGATCCAGCACAAGAAGCTTTAGTAGTGGGGTAGTTTGGGGCTCTGGATCAGGATGGGGTAAAACTGGTGGTAGTGGTACTGGTAGTTGCTTCCACATCTACAACTCTAGTTCTGCTGGTGGTGATGTTGGTCTTCTAGCTGGAGGGGAAAAAGAAACCATGCAGAATTTAAATGACCGCTTGGCTTCCTACCTGGCTAAAGTGCATGCTTTGGAAGAGGCAAATGGTGATCTTGAGCAAAAAATCAGAAATTGGTATCAGAAATCTGCAACACATATTAATGAAGGACTCTACAATGATAGCAAATATAATTCTTCTATTGAAGACCTTCGAAATAAGGTAAGCCAGTTCTTCAATGGATTTTGAAAAATCAAATGAGGAATTATTTTACCAGTTCAGGTTGTTTAGCAAACAGACAATGTAATCTGCAGAGCCACATGCCAGAATCTATCAGTGTTTGGGAGCTTCATCCCACAAAATTCTGTTTCTGTTGAAATTGGTGTGTGTCCCTGTGTGTGTGTGTGTGTGTGTGTGTAATTGGAGTAGGTATATGGCAACAACTTGTCTCCAAGTTGTACCTCCATTACAAAAGCTATTTATTCCACAGGTAATGAAAATTTTCATCCTGGCATTGCTTACTTATTGACCATAGACTACTTCTTAGCATTGCAAATTCAGCTTTCTCTGCTGCTGATTTGGAATGTCATCTATCCATCCTTGTCAGTAAGGTATACGAGCCTGACATCTGCTGTCCCCATTGCCAGTCTCCCATCCGCCTCTATTTCATCTGTTCCTAGTCACTGTAGCCATTTGGCAATTTTTTATAAAGCTTAACAGTTTATACACATTTGATTTACCTTTGCATGTTGCAATTAGGGGGGAGGAGAATCTTATTTTTAACACTGGTTGAGCTAAGGACAACTTAAAGCTATCTCATTCATGAGCTTAGGGAAAATAAAGGCAATATGATGGGGACACAATGGGAAAAGTATGTTATCAGATTGTGTTTTGTCATGGTGAAGGGAAAGTGGAGAAAGATTTTCCAAGCTTCTTCAGCAAAAACTGGACTGCATTCTTTTGAGAGCTATTTATAGCATAATTCTACCTCCCAATTCCTTCAAAACCTTTTTAAGCTGTTCATGATTTTTTCATTTCTGCCTACCTCAGAATGCTGAGATAGAGAGGTACGGTACTATGAACTGATTACTTTTCTCTCCAACCAATTAACCAAAGAGGGCAAAAATTGAATTTCAATTTTAATTTTAATTCACCCTCTGAGTTAAGACAGCTTTTAAAGTAACAAAATTCCCGTTCTTCACAGAAAAAAACATCAGCATCTTATTCCACTCAACCTTTTTCAGCAGTGTAAATTAAAAATAAAAGAAAGAAAACTCTGTGTATGTTATTCTTCATATAAATACATTTTCATAAAAAGCATAACATAATTTTGTAGCTAGATGCTTTTTCTAACAACTGCAATCATATGTCTGTTACAATATAGTGCCTTGAGTCCAGAGGGTGGGAGGCAGAATGAAATAAAAATACTTATCACAAGCAGACAAAATCAAGAATGCCAAGTTTTTGTATGAATAATGAGACTGACTACTAGAAAATAGCTAGAAATGTTACGATGAGTTCCAGTTTAGATTATTCATGAAAAATATTAAGTTTATGAGAAGACTGATTTAGAGATTTGTTGTTAATCACTATGACACCAAAATGATGAAACATGTGTCATAATGCCACAGTGCAAGCCAGGCCCTTTCATATCTGTGTAAAATGCAAGTATGTGGCATGTTTCATCACTTGCCACTCCCATCGTGAATACCTGTGGAAGATGGAGGAGTCAACAGTTCCTGTGAATGGGAAAAACAGCCCTTTCCCAAATAAAAGATTTTTTTATAGGTTGCATAGCTTTTCTTGATCTGTCCTGTACATACTATCAATCAATTTCACAAAGCTCTATAATAATGAAAATGAGAGGGGAAAAGTCTCTCTGTTCTCTCTGCCTTTCATTTATATAGTTAGAGTCTCTGCTAAAAAGTAGACTGTATGTTTTATCATGCAATCTGAGATTTCAGGTCCAGCTACTTGTTCTGTTAGATATACATTGCATATACAATGTCAATTTGCCAAACTTTTTCAAACTACCTATTAATTGGCCAACACTTTGGATCATGTCAATGTCTGCCAATAACTGAAAGATGGTTGCT